GCCTCTGTTTGTTGTGAAACCACTGAGGTGGAAAAGACTTCACTGGGGCTAGATGGGGAAGCAGGAGTTGACGTTTCTGTGCTATGAGAAGAGTCAGTAGCGAAAGTCAGTGTGGTAAAGCCTTTGATAGTTGTGGAAGATGTGGATCCATCAGAAAGAGATGTAGTTATTTCTCCATAAGGGCCAGAAGTGGTAACAGATTCACCCGGAGTTGATGTGGATGTAGAGCTTCCATGAGTCTCAGTAGAGGCGTTGGGAGATGAACCTGTGGGTTCAGAAGGGTCAGAGATGGTGCTGTGATCTGTGGATCCCATGGTGAAGGTAGTGGCTGTCTGTACTGAGCCAGCTGGGCTGGTAGATGCCTGTTGTCAGGGTTTGAATTATGTCCCCCAAAAAATGTGTATATCAGTTTGTCTGGGCCTTGATTCCTTGTACTGTGTGATTTTCCTATAGGTTGTAAAACATGCTTCTATGATGTTAATGAGGGAGATTGGGTGGCAGTTGTGTTGGTAAGGCAGGACCTGGTCTACAAGACTGGATTGTGTCCTGAGGGAATCTCTTGAGATATAAAAGACAGAAGTGAGCAGTGAGACAGGGGGACCTCATACCATCAAGAAAGCAGTGCCAGGAGCAGAGCGCATCCTTGGACCAGGGTTCCTGTGCAAAGAAGCTCCTAGTCTGGGCGAACATTGATAAGAAGGCCAACAGAGAGAGAAAGCCTTCCCCTGGAGCTGACACCGTGAATTTGGACTTTTAGCCTACTTTGACTATGAGGAAGTAAACTTCTCTTCATTAACACCTTCCACTTGTGGTACTTCTGTTGTAGGAGCACTAGGTAACTAAGACACCTCTCCAGGGCTTGAAGGGGCTGCAGAACTCTCAGTGTCGGTGGGTTGGGAGGTATCAGAAGACACTGTTGATTCAGAGACATGAGTAATCGTAGTATATAGAGTTGAAGGCTCTGTGATAGTTGTGGCTGTTTGTTCTAAAACCACTGAGGTTTTAGATACTTCACTGTCACTTGATGGGAAAGCAGGATTTCTCATGTTTGTGCTAAAAAAAGTGTCATTAGCAATTGTTGTTGTGGAACCATCTGTGGTGGTTGTATGAAAACTGTATTCTTGAAAAAGAGATGTCGTTATTTCCACATTTGGACCAGAGGTGGTGAAGGATTCACCAGGACTTGTTGTGGAATCAAGACTTCCTTTTGTGTTAGGTAGGGTTCCAGATGAACCTGTGGGTGCAGAAGATTCCAAGATGGTGGTGTTGTTTGGTTTTGTTAGTAAATAAAGTGGATGTCTGCCCTGAGATAGCTGGTCTAGTATATAACTCCTTAGTGTTTGAAGAGGTTGTGAATGTCATAGTTCCTATGGTAAGAGAGGGGAAAGTTATCCTCCAAA